GTTATTCTGCTTATCTTGACCCAGGTCACCCTCAGTTCACCAGAGAAAACAAAGAAACTCTTTTCCTGTTTCTTTTACCTTAACCTGATGAAAGCTCTTGTTTCCCATCAATGTCCTGGTTATGGCCTGAAGCTTGTGAGCAAGAACACTGCTGTTGAAGTTGGGACCCGACAAGAGTTTACTGACAAGTAAAACAACAACAATGAATATCTGAGTGGTTTCTGTATGTTTAAAGCTATTTGAACAATCTGCTACGGCCATTGCTGCAATAGTTGTTTTTTCCTGATGTTCCATCGCTCAAATAGATCCTGGTAGGACCTTGCTAAGACACTTCATTTTTTGTTTTCCCCTATTATTCTCCTCCTGTGAACAGGAAATGTCGATTAAGACTTCTCTGCCATCTTGCCTTTCACAGCACTCAGTGTGCATATGATGATGAGGGTTTGATGTGAGAAACAGACAGATGGCCAAAACTGAAGGATTAATGAACACTTGCAACAACTAAGTGTGGACACATTTGGAGGAAGCCAAAGCCCTCCAAATGTGCACGGACCATGACGCTCTTGTATCACTTGAAATCAGCCATTTCTTCTTCTCATCAGATGTGTTGGGAGCTTTGTGCCTCGATAATTTCTGAGGCAAGGAAGCCTCGTTTGTCAAAGAGACATGGCAGTTAAAAGCACCTTTTGCGTGTTTTCAGCCTCACAATTTCAGGAACTTGAAATGTGAATGACTCAAACATGATGTTTCATTTTAAACCAAGGCTTGAATAGGCAAGTCATTTACAGATGGGTTTAGGTTTTGGATGTCTTTTCTCTAGTCCTTAACTATAAAGCCATCCATTGTAGATTTACGTGCCTGAGTGTCATCTAAACATGTGGCTGCTAGAGGACTTAGACCCCCTCCTCCTCTACACGACTTCATGGTGCACTCTGAATCGAAGTTTCTATTTTCAAAACTCTAGACGTCCTCGACTCTCTTTCTCCCCTGCAGCATGTCTGATACTACAGATGGTAATAGGCCATTACTGAAAAATGTTTCATAAGTAAACCACTTTTGTTTGGTAATTTTCACAGTTTCCAAAAAGTGTAGGAAATCATAACACATCAGAAAGCAGTGTCACATTTGTTGGATGTCTGCTGTAATGGATTCCTGAACCTCATAAGGACACCTATTAGACTGGTTGATTCCTACAGACTTCATCAAACTTGCCATCGTAGTCAGAACCCTCATGAAGTGAGACCTAATATTTATGCAATTTTACATGGTGCAGTGTATTCACTTATAAAAAATAGTTCCTTTTGGTAGCAAAACTGCAGTGATGTGACAAAGCTGTGGAAAGATCATCGACAACTTATTTACCAATGTACCAAGAAAGGCTTAACCTCCATATAAGGTGAAGGTCAAAGTTCATGTCCTCTTTAGATTGTAAAAGACCGACAAACTCAAGCCTTTCAGTGATTGGTATGTGTCTCCCTAGAATATGGTTGTTGATGCTGGTTTTAGCCAAACCTCACATTCACTTTCATGTGGCAACAAACATGAGCTACAACGGTGTGTCCTTCAACTCTGTTAAGTGGCAGGTTGACTCATGTGTTTGCATTGGTTACCTTTGAGCGGCAATGGCATATGAATTTTTACCCATCCAACCCAGTTCGTGTGCATATTGGGACACTATGGGGGACATTGAATTGCATGTGGACTTACCTCTTCGATAAAGCAACAGGACCATGATCCAGTGAGGGTAATTCATGAGATATGGCTTTGAGATGGTGGTGGTTGCAAGTAGGTATCTCATCTTGACTAGCCGGAGTACTGTTATATGTGAAATTGTTTCTATGAACAGTAAAGTCATAACCATAGCCCTGTTAAGACTGCTGTTCAATGCGTGGTATTTACGTCCCTGTGACGTCTCGCCTTCATTCTAAATGTCGCGTAATGGGGGGATGAAGTGATCCCCACTCTGTAACGTCTTTGGAGGTAGTAACATAGGCGCTAGAGGGGCGAGCGCTATGTGTTTGTGCATGTCAGACTGTGAGGTTATGTGGAGCTCCAGCCGTGCCGTGCTTCTGCAACGCCGAAACGCAATGTGAATTCACAGACTGGGACAATATGAATGCACAAAGACACAACGACGGCTGAGCTTAGTTACGGCACATTTTCGGAAATGCAGTATAAAAAGGGCTCGTGTCTGCCATGTTCAAACTTCTACCCCTTATACCTTACTGTCAAGGTGAGGCGTGTGTTTCTGCGTGTGTGTCTTCATCCAACCATCTATCCCTCCATCAGGAGTCTTGACAAGGTCCATGTATCACTTAGCCCTGGGCTGTCAGGCCTTTCCCATAAACCACTGCTGCCTGGAAGATTAATGGTTGTCCTAATCTCCCATTTAGAGACTGCTAATAGGTGGGCCTGCAGACAGACAGATCTCTCTCTCTCTTTCAGTGCAGGGAAATAGATCCTCATTTATTTTGTATTCCTTGCCTTTTTCTTTAGCTATCTTGGGAAAATACAACGTCCACATTTTGTATGTCAGAGTGTCTGCTCCTAAACATATCAGGTTCAAAAATTAGGCCACAATACGATAACCAGCAAACTTTGACTTTTTGATTGTCCTCAAGTTGTATACAGATATCACGGCTTTTCCTTTTAGTGTCCTGTCCTGTTCACTGACCTCAGATTTTATTTTTACCCTAAATAAATTATGAGTACAAGCAGTGAACGTTTTGAAGATGAGTGAGTATGTGCCTGAGACTTACAACTTTTAATATTTGAAATTTCACGATAGGGAAATCAACCAATAAGTTATGCTCATCTGTCTCAGTGGTTGAAGAAGAAGAACATATTAACATTGAAAGATATGAAAGATACATTTTAGTCACACATCTAAAAAAAACAATGAAAATATTACTACCAACAAAAGACATTTAGATTCCTTTATAATTATTATTGGACTTTTTTGCCTTTCTAGATAAGATGGTTTGAAGGGAGACAGGAAACGAGAACTTTGATTTTCTAAGCAACGATGGAGAATTTTCAGACTGTTTACTGGGGCACATCCACATTTTCTGACACGTTTACATTTGGTATGTTAGCCCTGTCCTTTTGGAACATTGCAGTAGCATATTGTTTGAAAGTAGGAGGATCTGTGTGGAATATGTGACCATGTCAGTGCAGCTAAAACAGATGATTAGCTTTATACAACCAGGTCCCTCTTGAATATTGTCATGAATAATAATGTCCTCTCAGTCATTTGACAGTAATTACAGAAATGAATGCCTATTAGCAACTTCCTAGTTTATGAGTGTGCATGCAATGACTTCATTTAATCTCCCATACGGCATTTACAGAGGGAGAGCTGCCACTTAATGGCTGAATGAGGACCTATTAAGTGTGTTAAGAATGCTTTGTGGATTAACTCTTTGTTATAGAACATAATCTGTCCCCAGTATATGAGCGTCAATTACAGTGACATAAATAAGGATGTGTGCTCGGTCATTTCAGGTAGCTCTTTCTCTCTCCGTCTGTCTGTTTTCTGCCTGAGTGAGCTCATGCGACTGTCAGCCAGAAGCAGACACGCGCTGCTGTATTGTATGTGTCCTCATATTACAAAGAGCTGAAGAGACAGCTCTTCATTCTCATTGTGTCAAGAGACTTATTCTAACAAGCAGACGTACACATGATATAACTGCTAACCTGCCATTCAAATGCACCTTGATGAGTTGTTCTCTGCTTTCCCAGTGTTTTGTTTCTCTGCTGTGTCTCTTGGTTTTGCGGCACATCGGGTCACATTGACTCTGCTGCCTAATCAAGTGTCTTAATGGCATTTTTATTTGAAAGCAGATGACTAGAAGCTCTTCTTTGATTCTTGTGAAAGAAACTCCATCATCAGGTTTTACAAAAGAGGAGAGGTCTGACTCATGTGTTTCACTTTGAGGGGATCCAAGATGATGATTATTTAGTGGTTGCAAGAGAAAATCATTCTTATCTTTACTTTAAAAAATGTTCCCTTTCCAATTTATGATCTCTTTCTCCTCTCATTACTATTCAATGCAAGGCAGATAAAAAGCATGCACAGTCTTGAGCTGTACATGTTTTTCCACTTGTTGTGGGTATAAATAAAAGCAGTAAGTGCTAAGTTGAGATAAGAATATATTGATTATGATCAAAACTTAGTTTTATCATAAACATTGGGAACATCTATAAGTGTTTTTTCACTTGCAGTAAAAAGTGAGGCTTGGAGTGTTGTTAAGTGTTGGGCCAGAATCCTATGAAAAACATTATGCTAAGATAAGGAGACGTTAGTTATGATCAAAACATACATTTATCAAATTAGGTGGGGGCATATGTTATTAGTAAAAATCGTATTTGATTCTCTTTAGCTTGAGTGTTTGGTAAAGAGAAGTCTTCAGGCCTTTGAGACCTACAGTTCCTTGTGTTCATCGCTAAATCCCATTTCAGAGCCAAGCCCACATTATTGTCAGGTTGATGAAATCCTTACTGGTTGTGTGCCAGCTGCCCTCTGTGCATATTGAGTTTTGCCAAGTCCTAATGAGGTTTTCATTTTAATGTTTCTTTAACAGGTTGTTCTCATTTTTTACACTCTTGTTACAGTGCTGTGAAGATTTTAAAATGTTGAAGGGACGTGTAAATATGAACGGTCGGTGTGGTCAGAGTGTACACCTCAGATTAATACAATGGACATGCTCTGCAGTCCTAAACTTAATGTCATGTAATATTTATTCATTAAAGCCTTTGGGCCAGGTAGGTATGGAAAGATATCAGAGGAGAAATGTTTGGTAACTGCTGAAGTAAATGTAATATTTATGACGGGAAATGGTTAAACCCGGTGACCTGATATTAAATGTGTGTGTGAAAGTTTCACTTATGGATCAGAGATTATTTCAAAAGTTCAGACTGAGCTTGAGGCTTGCTGTCTCATGCAGCATGTCATCAGTCCAACAGTTTCTCACTTGCTCACATAATAAAGGGCAGAGAGCAAGAATGGCACGATGATATGTTTATTGAGAGGCTTTGGATAATAGAAAAGGTGGTGGCTGCTGTTGGAATGTCACAACCATTGACGAAAAAACATGGACATGAACTTCCCTATTTAGACAGACACACACATACACACCCACTCCCACACACTCACACTCACCCACATTCAACTCCGATCACTCGAAAGAGAGAAAAAACTTACAGCAATGCACAAGACGTAATCACAGTTTCTACAAGCTCATTTCTTCATGAGAATTCACAGTTACACATTTATGAGGGAGATTTTCTTCTTAGGCACATCAAAAGCAATAAGATGTGTATCTCAACAACAACAAAATCATGACAAAAATAAAAAAATTGCCCATTTCATAAATTCTCAAGGGGCCCAGCTGGACTGAGTGTTTACACTGGATGTAAGTCAGTATCTTCATCTGCAGGATACCGTGTAAACCAGAGGAAGGACTCAGTTCATCTGGCTTTCCCCTCGTATACATGTTTATATTATCTCTCTTCCTATACACATTTAGGATTTGCAGAACTTGGGACTGAAGCATTTAATATAAATGTCACCCCAGGTCGGACAGAAAAATGGCTATTAGAACATTGTCAGTCTAAATACAGCTCCACTGGTCCATGTCCAGTGATGACAACACTTTAAAATGATCATATACGAGTAAATCACAAACAGACAATATCACAGACAGTTAACTTGAGCTGTTTATTTTTTTTGTTTTTGTTGTTGTTGCTCTTTTTCTATATTTGCAGTTCAAGTTCGGAAAGTTCACCGTGTTGTCCTGTCTGTGTAGAACGCTCGAGGAGTAAGCTAAATATATAACAAGGTAATCATTGATAATTTAGCAGCCCTCCTCTGCACACCGACGCAACAAGAACACCAGGACAGACCCTCACTCTCCTCCTCGCTGCGTCTTTGGAAAATCTTGTGCTCAGATGGGAAAGACAGTCAGTGACGTTCTCATCTCATTTTCTTTCAGGTTTTTTTTTTTATATATATATTTTCTGTAGCAGCTGGACTGTGAGAAACATGTTAGCTCTTGGAAAAAAGATGTAGCCCTCACAGGACCATTGTACTTAAAAAAAAAAAAAAAAAAAAAAAAAAAGGCGCTGCCAAGAACCAAGCTGGTGTTCTCATTTTGTTGAAGGGTAGTGGGTGCATTTGAATTTAAATGGGACTAGGTATGGTTGTTTGCTGTTCTGTTATTTAGTCAGTACCTTAAAGTAGCCTCGGGGGAACCACAGAGTTGAATAAGGAAGCACTGAGGCGATAAACACTTTCCAAGCAGTTGGACTACACTGGGTCAAAGACCAAGTTTGAAAATACATTATGGAATATCTAATCCCAAGACAAGTGCTACAGCAGAGATAACCATCAAACTCAAAAAAACAAAAAAAACGTTTGCCTGTATTGGAAATTTAAACAAATTTCACTCCTGTACCTGGAGAGAGATATTCAGGACAACACTGAATTTAATTTTTATGACTGACGATATTCCCTGACACAGCGATCCCTGATTGGCTCATTGGAGTGAGTGACTCCATTTTAAAGAGGCAAGTTCGCTGGTGTCCATTTGATTTTAAAAAGTTTTTGTGATCCAGTAATTGTGACCCAGATTTTTTCTAAACGTCTTCAAACTTGCGCCTTAACACGAAATTTTTTAAAAAATCAAGTAATACAAGATGAGTTAAGCCAAGGTTATTAAGTTGAACATACATTATGTGTAACAATCCACATGACCTCTGGAGCTTTTCAGGTGAATCTGTATTCAAATGTTCTCTATGTATCACCAACATATGATATGATGATATGATAAAGCATTTGTACAAAGATGGACCATCAGGCCAAGAAAAGCTGCCCTTTTTTTTTCTTCATCCCAAATCTGCAGGACGCATCTGCCCCTCAAGATTCAACAATCCATTATGTACTGCTTCACTGTTGAAGAGCGATCTTTGTCAGCTCATTAATTCACATAGTAGTCAGGTCATATTTACCAGGAACATGTGTAAAGGTGATCAATCACTTATTTAAATGTTACATGGACAAGACCAACGCAGGTTGTAAATAACAGAAGCAAGGCATGAAGCTTGAATGTTTGCAGCAAGGACAAGTAAATCACAAGGCAACATTTAGAAATGGAAGTAACGTTTGCCCTGGTGTAATGTTCAACCTGGTGTTCATCTTGTGTTGACTTGAAACGTCACAGCATGTAGTGCAAACGTTTTTAGCTCTTTGACGACAACATCCTACAATGACTTAGACATAAAAACGGCCTGAACACGCCCCATTAGGCTTTATTTGTGAGGGTAGACCTTTGTCTCATGAAGGGGGAGGGGGAGGAGAAGAATCAGCCTGACCTTTGGTTGGCGGAGGGATCCAGACTCTGAACTGGGACACTGCTTGAAAAACAGTATTTTCTTTCAGGTTGCCTTTTAAAATGACACCGGCAGAGTCAGGGCTCCTTCTGTATTCTGACTGTATTTATCTATGCTACCGGCTGGATCGCCACCACAGTGATACTATCGCTTCACATAGGGCAGATCAGGAAAGCTGGCTGCTCAGTGGCAGTATTCACATAGCCATGGCTTGGCATGTGGGGAACAATATTTAGCCGAAACTTGTTAATTTGAGATAAAACTTTCATCTTCACAGCTAAAATGGTTTATCACAGTGGAGATGGCATTATGGCGCTGTGTGTGTGTGTGTGTGTGTGTGTGTGTGTGTGTGTGCGCGAGAGTATATACTTTCCTGCATGACTACCAGAAGTGTTTGTTTGTTGTGTGCTTGTTTAGATAAGCCCGTGCCTGGATCTACTGCTTTCTGTATTTCTCAGCGAGTGTGTGTTTGTGTATGTCAGCTCAGCAGATGGAGTTTAATTCTCAGCACTGGGAAATCTCAATCCCACAATGCACTGGGAGCCGCGCCAATTGAGGAAGTGTCGACGAAGCAATGAGGAACCAATCATAGGTATTGTAATTGAAAAAAAGGTGCATTTCCTCTCACTCCCTGTCCTGTTGCTGTTCCTCCAGGACTTGCCATTGTTGTGCTCTCCATCAACTTGAATGGGGTCTGTCGCATGAGTAAATATTGAACTCCTGTGTATTAAACACGTACACACGTATCACAGACACAGTAAAACCGATTAACACAGATCACAAAGGAAAACAGGGACAGAGTGAAGTGGTGGTTGGTTCCCCATCCTTTCCCTTTCTGTGTCTGAGCAGACAAAAGGGAACAAACATCTGGAAATCCTGGCTTCTGAAAATGAATGCAGCAAAAATAAAATGTCCCCAGAACAACACAAAAGGCCTCCTCACTCACCAGTCTATACTGGAATCACACCAAATTCAGGCCAACTTTTACAAAGAATCTCTCTTTTTTCAGTGTTTTTTTCCAAATCCCTGATCAGGCTGAAGGAACGTCTTCTGTTGAATAACTGTGTGTTCAAAGGAAGGGGGAAAGAGGAGTTGGTGTTTTTTCTCCAGGCGACTTCAGTAAAACAGTAAAATTCACCTTTAAAAGAGAAAACACACCTTCTAAAGAACACTACATGAGGATTCATTTGGAAACCAGTAAAAAGTAGTTCAAATCAAAGTGCCCTCAGTCAAACCAGCGTCATCGTCAGACAATCTGAGAAATCATTGTGATCCGTCAGATGACATCACATTTCCCCCACCAACGTGAGGCAGGCTGAGGTTTGAAAAATCCGATCATAGTTGTTATGAGTTTTTTGTTTATCAATTGTAGTATTTCTGTGACAAAAAAAAAAGCATTTCTATGTTTGCCTACATTTTTAATCTGGGATGGAAAATCCTCAGGAACATGATTTTTCACTGGAGAATAATGAAATTCTTCACTGAAAGCCAAACTAAGGACTTTAAGGCAGAGTGAGGCAGGTGTTTGAACAGGACACTGTGCAAGGATTTCTTCTGGACAGACATCTTGAGTTAGCTACGATCAGGAAATAAACCTATTACAGATGGATGATAACTGCTATCTAAATAAATGTCAGTCTGCCCAGTAGCTACTGCAAAATCCTAAATCAATATAACGCCCGCATATGTTTGGACTAGGGCTGTCAAACCATTTGACATTTTTAATCACAGTTTTAATCGCATGTTTAATTCCATTAGTTCTCATTGAAAAATTATAATTGTTAGGTTTCTATTTTGAATTTCTGTTCTGACTTAAGCTAAGAGAACTTGCTGTTTGAATTCAACCGTGCTTTTATTTTGAAAAAAAGTAAAGACCTTCATTCAACCGTGCTTTTATCTTGAAATAAAGTAAAGACCTTCTGGTAGATCGAAGGTGGTGACATTAATTTAACCACGGAAAACTGGAACTCACTATGGCTCAAAAACTAAATAAAAACAGCTAAAAGGAACATTAAAAAGTGAAATGTGTGATGTCATAAGGTCGATATTACTTGAGACTCGTCAACTGAGCTGTCGGAGAGCGTTTTACTGTGAAATGAGCCATTCAAAGATGCAGCAGTGTCGTTCTCTTACACCACTGGGACTACAGGGAGACACTGAGGAGGCTTATCCACGGTGCGCCTAAAGGGACAAAATAGCTTCAGACCTTCACTGATGGCCAGTAAGAAGTTAATGCTGACAGCCCTAGTTTTGTAACTGTGCATGTATATGTCTGTTTGCTCATTGTGAAAAAAAAAAAAAAACATCTTCCATCCCCTGAAGCCCTTCTTTGGCGGGTTTGGAACAAAATGGAGGTCCTCACTTTAAATCACTGTCCGCAATAACTAGATAAATCGCTACAAACAACTCGGTGTGAGGTATGGATGGGGGGGAAATTCTGAGAAAAGAAGGAGATAGAAGGTGTCTGGATGACCCCTGGGTTAGGAGTCTTACTTCATGTAGGTTTTTTTTTTTTTGAGGATTAGTCCATGTATTTGTCCCTTAGTCCCATGCTACTGCAGGCCCAGCAACTGCAGGCTGGTTCCCCAAAGGCTCAGCTGTAGTTTTGGGTCAAAGGTTGTTGGTGTTGTCATCTCCCTTTGCCCGTTGGCCCAGAAGTCTCCGCCATACTCCCCCTCCAGGTCTGGTGACAAAGCGGCGTACAGCACAGTGGCAGCGCCCTCAGAGGGAGTCTGGGGAAAAACACAAACACACACAGATACACAAATGAACAAATACTGTACTTAAAAGGTTTGATGCAAAAATGTTGAGGCAGCGGCCCCAATGCAGGGGTTCCCAGCCTTTTTCCTTGAAGTCCCTTCTGTTTTCATCTCAACCCCCCCCCAGGACATCAAAGCACTTTGACACCGCAGGTCACACCTACCCATAAACACACTGACGGCAGAGGCTGCTATGAAAAGGATCCATCATGAGAAACTAATCTCAATCACACACATTCATACGCCGCCAACGAAGGTTAAAGTGTCTTGCCCAAGGTCATATCTGACATGTGGCTGCAGGAGCCACATGTCAGATATGACATGTAGCTACAGCCCGCTGAAAAGTGAGGAAATGTACTTCTTACACAGTTTTATCAACAGACATTTTGAAATAAATGTGTTTATAAAGTGCTGCTACAAAGCTGAAGGCACAATGTATGTGTTTTTAAAATAGATGTTGCAGAATGCTATAAATGATTATGTTGGGCAGCTAAGCTGTTTGGATTTCTTTTCATGTCTAAAGGCAAAAAATGTCACCAAAAAAGCAACAGCAGGGACACGGTGCCTCTTTTACTGCTGGAACAGTTCAAGAGCCAACACTGCAGCATTTGATTGACAGTTTGGAATGAAGCCTCTTGCCACAGAGGGCACCAGTACACAATGTTTGCTTGCCACAGAGCCACTTTTGTGGCCAAGAACCATGGGGCAGCAAATGTATATTTAAATTATACGACACTTATCAAGATGTTATATGATTAAATAAAAAGTTAGTCTGGGGATGGAAGATTCATACTTCATTAGTATCACGTGTCTCTGAGCTGATTAAATAAATATATCCTATTGTCACTCCTAAATTAACAACAAAATGGTAGGATGATAACAAGTCTTTGTTTATTGTTGCTCTGCCACTCACACTCTTCTAAAACTTTGTTTCAGTTGCTCACTGCTCAGTGACCATATTGAGCTAACCTCTGCTACCTAATGCTAATCTAGGGTTTGTGTCAGGCAGTCGTTACGTACACCGTATACAGTTTTCTTCAAATAACACCTGATGATCTCTGAAATTATTTTAGGAGTAAGAATTATATATGTGTGTGTATATACAGTGTGTCTTCATCTGCAATTACCCAAGAACTGTAGAATAATATTGGCATATCAGACATCGGCAAAAATCCAACATCATGCATCCGTACATCATTAAAGACAATTGAAGTTACTGCATAATGACAAGTTCAACAACAAGTTATCACTGCAAGAAACACACAACATTTCCTGTGTGTGTGTGTGTACACTGCTCTGTGTGTGTCTGTGTGCAGTTGTGAAAGCCAGAGGAGGGCCGATGTCACTGTAGGTTAGCGTCAGTAAAAAGCAGACTCGTGTGTGTGTGTGTGTGTGTGTGTGTGTGTGTGTGTGTGTGTGTGTGTGTGTGTGTGTGTGTGTGTGTGTGTGTGTGTGTGTGTGTGTGTGTGTGTGTGTGTGTGTGTGTGTGTGTGTGTGTGTGTGTGTGTGTGTGTGTGTGTGTGTGTGTGTGTGTGTGCATTCATAAGCGTGCGTCAGTGTTAGTGTTGATGCATTTTAACAATGATCTCAGTGTCAGCTGTGAGACCGGGAGCAGGTTTCTGAGCAGGGAGGGGATCCTGCGAGCATCAACACTACACTCGAATACTGTGTGTGTGCATGTGTGTGCGTTGGTGTTTGTGTTTGTGTTGTACTCTGTATTTTCAAAACATGAATTTTAATTCTTCCTCTGAATGAATTATTATTATGCTCGCAGGGGTAACATTTTCAGTGCGAGTAACGATACAGGAAAACACATCTTGTACTTCATTATACATGTTGCTGTCTGGAGTTTAAAGGTCTGTTCACACATGGAGGGGTTTTTAGCACAGAAAACACTCCCTAGAAAGCCTTTTGTGAAAAGAGAAAAAAAAAAGGATTCATTTCAGCAGACCACTAGTTTTATTCCACCTTGCACTTCATTTGTTTTGACTTAGGGTTTCCAAAGTAACCCTCTTATCTCTGCTCTAGGGTTTGTCTACACTGAAGTTTGTTTTTCTATATACTGTAACTTATGGCTAAATGGGCTGTTGATGTTTAATTTCTCGATAGCCCAATTAAGGTTCTGGGCCTGTGGAGTGTCAGTGTTGTGCTTTTCTGTTTGAGGTATTCATAGGTTTCAGTGAGGAGGGCTGGAGGGCTAAAAAACGCTCAGGAAAGTAACAGCCACCGTTGAAAACCCTGTAGAACTGCAACACGGGCTTTTAATTTAACATCTCCTGTAAACGACACATGTTTACATCTCCTGACAACCATAGCAAAACCAAGATATTAAGATAAACCTTACGTTTTGGGGCACTTGCGATACTTCAGCAAACGGAACACTATTTATATCGCAAAAAACGGCAAAGTCCGTGCCGGTGTTACGGTTAAAAGAGTTACCATGTTAACTGGTGACTGTCAGCCTATTTGTTTTAGCTGAAATCTCATTAGCCAATGGGGACGCATTCCTCAAAAAGTTCACCCACTCGAGAGGTTTGTGCCAGAATCGCAAGCAAAAAGTCAAGCAGCGCAAACGAGAAAGCTGACAGTGAGAAAGAAAAAGAGGGAACCGTAAACAAAAGGACTGATGATAAGAAAAGTAAAAGGCTGATTATTTACACGATCACACAAATATTTTAATTGCAAGTCTTTTTTTTTTTTTGCTTCAGTGAGATTATATCTCTCTCAAAATCTTATTTTTTGTTTGCAATTTCAGAAGTTTTGTTTGATTTTTTTTTTTTTTGGCACAAATATGATTCCATATGTGATAGACTGGCAAACAGTCCAGGTTGTACCCGCCTCTCGCCCTATGACAGCTGGGATCGGCTCCAGCCCAACCGCGAACCAGAATGGGAAAAGCGGTACGGATAATGGTTGGATGGATGTTTGTAAAGAGGACAATCCAGACGAATAACAGACTGAAATAAAGAAACATTACCTGGATAGACACTCAAATATTTGTTTTAATTCGGACACTTTTTCCAGTTGATTTAAAACATTCTGTCTTTGTTGCGTTTCTTAATGTGTGAAACAATATATGATTAACAACACTAAGGCCTATATGATGTGTTGTTATATAGATATAACATAAAAATATATAGTAAAATCACCCTTTACTATATACATGAAACATTACATATAGACATGTGTTGATTAAAATGTAAAATAACTTTTCTACTTTTAGTTGAAGTTTGTATTAAGCGATTTTAGTTCATAGCTATGTTGCTTCAGTTGTTTGTTTATGTGGATAAATCACTGACTGTACAAAGGTATTGTCACTGCAAATAATCCCATTTTGTGTGTTTGTGGTGGGGGGGGGGGGGTGATGATTACATGCATGCCTTTGTGTTATTAATGCTTTAATGTATTTAGGGCAGAAGCATCCCAAAGGTTGTGCTTGGAGGCAAATGCCTGTGACAATTGCAGATTTGAGTTCATACACGCGCACTTGTCTCCTTCCATTAAATCGCAGAGACCTTAACAGCAGCCTGCGGCCTTACGCTTTAAGCAATGCAAGACATGTTTAAAAATATAAAACACAGTGAACAGCCTGCCTTGATTTTAGCAGCGCTGTAGTTTCCAGTGATGTGGATAGACTGTGTGCCTGTGTTTCATCCTGTGTAACATAATCCTGAATAATACTTCCCTTGAGTTTGTTGTTTCAACACACTGTGGTACCTTTAAACGTCATTTCACAGCCAAACAGCATTTCCTTTCCAGAAGATCAGACCAAGTTACTTCATATGATTCAAGAATAAAAAATGCTGCTCCATAACTCTTTTAATCCCTCTTAAAAAAAAAACAGGGCCAAAAGAAAGGTCCTCAGAGTATGCATTAATTTGATTTTTTGGCCATGGTACAGAAAAGTCACTTAAAGCAGAGAGACACTTTTGCCATTTTTATTTTTTATTTCCTTATATTGTGCAATGTTTTGGACATTTCTTGGGCTTAATCTTTATGCAGTTGCACCACCAGCCAATAGTCCCTGGGTCAGAACTAAAAGAATACTTTCCTACCAGGTGATGTTGTTGCCTCAGTCCTCTGATTGGTGTTTGTCTACAAGATGTGCTAAAGAGTACCTGCAGTGTCTGAATGAGAGGCCACAGGGAAGAGACAAAACGTCAGTATATGCGACCTGTGAGTAAGAAAAGTCTGCTGTGTTGCAGCCGTAGAAGAGCTGCAGGTGTCACGGGTTGAGAAGAGAAACACACAGCAGGCAGGATGAAGCCTCCCTTTGGCTAAGAACAAACTAAATCTGGCACCTTCTTGCAGGTGCAGACTTGTGTGAGTGTGTCTGGGTTCTTTTAACGGCTCAATAATAATAGTTAGCAGAAAATAGAGAAGAGAAAAGAAGAAAAATAAAAAGAATGTTTTATTTCTCTGACTTCCCCACTGATTCTAATCTGTGGCTCTCCTTCCTCTCTAGGTTGCTGAAAGTTTTTTTTTTTTAAAGCTTCGTTACTCTGGGAGTCGTGCTTCGAGGTGTTGTGGTGTGCAATTTTCAAATAGTAAAATTGCAGGAGGTGCAATGTCAACAGAATGAACTAAAACCTGTCATGGTGGTACTTTTTGTTGCTTGATGCAAAAGGAAAATTAATTACTTTTTGTTGTTTTCCATGACTTTTAAAGAACGATTAGAAGAACAGTTCATCACTGTTACATTAGTGTAGCACTCCCAGGAGAACAAAGCCATTAGGTTGCTTTGCATGTAGAGTCAACTGACTGCAAACAAGCAGACGATGCTGCTGCCGTCACAGATAATGTGGGTTAGACGATCGCAGCAGGCTTTCATTTACACAAGGCGGACTTTCAGTAAGTGTATTCTCTGCTATCAGCAGCACTCCATCCCTGTGCTGGGTAACACTGAGGCCACGTGTGTAGGACCTGGTTTACTGCTAAATGTATCCTATAGTGGTTACACAGCTTATGCACAATGTAGTGTTGTGTGACCGGACAGGTGGTGGGAGGGGATGAGCTTTTGTTTGAAAAATGTCTTTCATACAGACTTATTCAAAAAATTACCTTGGAACGTAGTTCAAAATGGTTGATGTAAAAGTAACACTGCTGTGACACAGAGGTCTATTTGTAAAGTGTTGAAGAAACGTGTCGCTCCACCTGCTCTCTCTCTTTTTTTTAAAAATCGATGTTGGTGTGAGAGAGTCATCAGGGAGTGCTCAACCAAGCGGGTTGAAAGTGGGGGGGGGGGGGGGGTTGTTTTGTTAGAGGATAAATATTTACATTTTTGTCCGATAATGTGCAGCTCTATGTTTGATGAGAACAAATGTAAAACAGTCAGCCGCCATATCGTCTGAGACTCGTTTAATTGATAAAGTATCAATGTTTTGAATGTTTCAAATGTTTTGATTACGTGCGTGGAGATCGTAGTGGTGGCGTGCAGACACTGTGCAGACGGTAAATAAAATGTCACATCAGCTCTACTAGGGTTCTCGCAGGAGAAACTCCCGGTGAAGTCCAAATGCTAAATGTGGCTGTTTGCTTTCACTCATGCAGCTTCTCTGGCAAATATCAGGAGTTTTTCAGGAGTGTTCAGCAAGTGTGAAAGCCCTAACACTGAGGAAGACATAGGCTTCAATTAGTTGGGAAATGAGACAATGAGAACTCCAACCCGAGCTCCTGAGCGCTTTATCACAGTAAAGGATTTTGTTTTCTTACAACAGAAATTAGTTTGTAGACCTTGAGAAAATCCACTTAGCGACTTCATTTTACCCTCAAGGGATTTACTTTTCAGTCTTTAGCTAACAAAACTAAACAAGGACAACAGCAGAATTAACTGCTATTTGGAGCATCAAATAAAATAATAAGGCATTGGTGTCCTGGAACCATAAAGTAATCAATCAGATTGACAGCTTTACAGTCAAAGAAGAAAATCTATCAACTGAATAAACAAGTCATGTGTCCTCTAGGAACTCCCTCCCTCCCTCCCTACAGCACAAACATGAAACGTAGTAATGAAAGAAGTTCATCTTTCCTTTATATGTCTTTGATCTCTGGCAGGATGACAGAAATCAGATCACAGTCTACTTGTGAGTAAAGCACATGTAAGTCAGGAGAGTGTTTTACCTTGTAAAGCAGGCGAGCAATAATTCTGTGTGCCAAACAGAGGGGCGTCCAGAGGTGGCGATAGAGAGCCGTGTCCACGATGCCTGGATCCACAGCACATGAACTCAGCGGGAAACCACCATGCTCCAGCTGCTGGTGGAGGTGGGAACTAAATAACAGCTGTGCCAGCTTACTGTGACAATAAGCAGCATGGGCTGAATAAGACTTGCTGAAGAGAGAGAGAGAGAGAGAGAGAGAGGGAGAGAGAGAGAGAACACGTTTAGAAGGCTGGAAACAGCAAACTTTTCTTTGTTTGTTCTGATCATCTGTTGGCACAATTAGTCTTTTTTTTATTGGTAGAGTAACATGTCCTGCTGAACAAGGACAGGTTCTTTTTGAGTCTAAACTTAACAACATCTCAGAGGCACAACAGGCAAATTTGGCAAACAAGGACACAGCGTCATTGAAGCATCTGAAACCAGCCAGTGGAGAGCCGAAGTGCCAATTATTTACACCAGCCCAGGACTTTTCAGTCCAGTACAGCATATTTTATCTTAATAAGCGACGTTTGTATGTGTGTGTGTGTTCCTGTTAGAAACTGAACACATCATGTTTTGTTAAACTGCAAAGTGACTCTTATGTTATCACGTCATTTAAATTCTTATTATATTCATCATTAAAGCAGCCTCTCATATTTATTAATGAAACATGAGTTGAGCTCGTCCCAATAAAACACAGGCCAGTGAAACAGAACAAGACGGTTTGAGAATTTCACAAACTTGTAGGGATAACAAGATTCAATGCTGCGACATGTTGTTATAGCTAACAGGTGATAAGGTGTCATTTACACGTCTAATGTGTTGCCAACTTTTGGTCGTGCTCAATGCTCAGGTAAAACTTTGTCACAGTAGTCCCTTGCAACATTGTTGGCAGGACACTCTGGGGCACTGCTCAGTAAAGATCTGCATGTGCAGCCTTAATACATATAATATAAACTGCATTTAAAAATGAACATAATGGCATTATTAATGTTAACATATCTTTATAGATTTGTTGGTCTGTCAATAACCTGCAGCCTATTTGAAGTATTGAGACATTTTGAACAAGAAGAATGAGTTGAGTGAGGTTATTATGAACTATTTCATAACATGTTACAAGAGGCTAAGCACATTTAAAATAAGCCTCAGCCCCCCCCTTGTAAATTTTGTAACAACTCAATGAGGGTTCTTTGGCTGCTAATGCTTCTGGACAGCTGAGCTTCTAGCTGGAGTAAGCCTGAGTGAGCTGGAGTCAACGTTTTCCCCCAAACGCAGAGAGAAAATGAGACACAGGAAGTGCAGGTAAGTGGCTAAGGGGCTTGCAGTGTTGTTTAGCCAAAGAAGAAAATATGTAACACAGAGGAAAAAAACCCAAGTTAATGATTAATCTATGTTTCTGTTGATCAGGAAACCGATGACAGCGCTGACTTGGTGAGTGTGGCGTTATAATTACTTACAAGAATGATTGTCTGCTACAAAAATTTGGCCAGTTCAGATAAAAAAAAAAAAACTTTATGTATTTATTTGAAGTTCTTTACATGTCCTTTCCTGCTTTCTTTACAATACGTCATGCCATATGGTTGTGACTGTGTGTGTGTGAGCCCACCTGCTGTTCAGGTCATTTATTCTGATCTCGCCGAGGTGATGGGCAGACGAGGAGACGTTGACCACACGGGAGAAATGACCACATTTGCCAGACTTTTTTAGTGTGTCAAGGAGGAGCCAAGTTAAGAGGAAGTGGCCAAGGTAGTTCACTCCAAAGTGCAGCTCAAATCCATCCTCAGTATGGCCCTCTGGAACCAGCATGACACCCGCTTTACACGCACAAACACAAGTATTTAAAAAAAAACAGAGCAGGTTCAAAAGTGCAAACAGACATGACTTGGCATACAGTACTCCTATTATCCTCCGCCTTTTCTTTCATTTGTTCCATTGTTCCAAACAGTGCATTGTGTACTTCATGATGTGTTCTTAATGAGCCTCTCACAGGATAACTCTGCTTCAGTGTCAGCAGCCAGACAGAGTACATAAAAATGTAAGACATGTTTAACAGGTGCAAAGTCTCATTGGGGGCTTTATTGACTGTAATACAACACATTTGTTTCCTTTTGGTTGGCTTTAATGGCTTGTCATTACATTTCTGAAAGCTTGGTTAAGTGATGGTAATTGACCTGTGAAAGCTGTAATCATCTCGCAGGCCACTACTGCTTTTCTTATCATTTATATCAGATCAAGTGAAATGACACTTTTTTTTTTTTTTTTTACTTTACATGGCGTTCACAGGAATGCAAGCCTGAACGCACTCATGGACAGATTTAGCGACATATGTGGAGGAAGTATTCTAAAAATTGAACACTCTGATACCATTTGTAGCGTTAAATGGAGCATTATTGGAGTTGAAGATCGGACCTTTTGGAGCACATGGAATAATAATTTCAAAATGTACTGTAGGTCAAATGTCTTTAAAGCAGTCAGTACAGCATCTAAGTTGTTGTGCAGAAGATTTGTACTTTTATTTCTGAATACAAAACACATTTCCATCACTCACCATTATTGACCAGAATGTTAAGCTGCAGGTCCTGCTCCTTGAAGCGCTGGACAAATTGATGGACAGATTGCAAAGAGGCCAGGTCCAGTTTCATGAACTCCACTGAAATGATGACACACACACACACACACACACACACACACACACACACACACACACACACACACACACACACACACACACACACACACACACACACACACACACACACACACACACACACACACAGAGAGACACACATATCAGGAGCCATTGTAAAAGGATTATTTCTCCGAGCCGTTTTGGCGGAAAGACATCAAAGAGTGTATTAATCATCTCTTTTGGCGAGCTCGGTGGATTCTTACACTACAATACAGGCAGGCTCCACGCTTCTGTTGCTCCAGCACATTATATCAAACCTAATACTTCTTCCTGAGCTCCATCAAAAGCTTAATACAGCGTTCTATCAGAGGCTAATGTATGAAAAGACACAAGGTAAGAAAGTAACGGCCAGGAGGCAGGTATCATCAGAGCGTGACAGGAACTTTGTGTGCTTCAGTGTGAAAATATGTATGCTATGAAATGACTTTCAGGTCCTGAGGAATAGACATACTAAAATAAATAACATGGGGTAACTTTAAATGTTAAGACATGTTTGCCTCATGCAGTACTTTTAATAATGAACTACTGTAAAAACATCTGGCAAAATGTTGAAGCTAAAGAGATTACAGGAAGCACTGATCTGAAGTTGACCCTCTGTCATGCACTTGGTCAATAAAGAATATCATAGCAAACGACTTAAAATAACTTTGTGTTGTTTCCTTTAAAAGATTTCACAGCCAGTGTTAGAAGTATTTTAATTAAGGGATCCAACAACACTGAAAACACACAAGAACTAGGTTTTAATTCTAGGTGAAATATCTGATCTGCACCTGTGTATTCAAACTCAAGAGAAGCACTCAGGGGCGCCGGTAGCGTAGTGGTTACTGCGTGCGCCCAGTGTACCGAGGCTGTGGTCCTCCAGATGGGAGGCCGGGTTTGAATCCCATCTGTGGCTCATGGCATGCATGTTGTTCCTCACCCTCTCCCTTATGTCAAAAATACAGAAGCACTCTTTAAGTAGCATATTCCACTCACTGGATGCAAATCTGTATAAGAATAGGAGCATTAACACAAAGTTTAGTGTTTAATCGGCGCTGACATTAATTAACGATGTGACATTACTTTACACACATTAGCATCACAGCTCTATCATACCTGCTTTTTCACTGCATGTCATAAACAAAAAGAGGCCACAAATGTGTCACCACATGCTCTTTCCTTTACTTCTCCTGTCAAGTTAAAACTGCAAAAGACGCATCCCAAAAATAAACAGTATGATAACTAAATAAGGTAGCTGGCACTTTACAGTCATATCGCATTAGAAGCTGGAAGTTTGGCGTCCAATCGACGATGTTATGAAGCAGACACTGCAATTAGAATTCAGTGTTGTTTGCTTGTGTTCATACTTAAAAATATTGTAATATCACAATGAGTCGAGACTGAGTTGATTTAGAGTCGAGGCCATGACAAAAAGTGCTTTAAGATACCTAACCTATTGAGCTCCTTCAAGAAACATGATTACTTATTAAATCTTGCAACAGGTGACTTACTAAAACTTTGTAGGTTAATGGCAAAGTTTTCCAAAACAATTAATTTCAAGAATGTCTTATTTACCCTTAGAATATTTTATGGGCAGCTCTGAAGCTTCTTGACTCAGTCCTCCTCTTGGTCTCTTCTCCTTCGTTCACTTTTGCAATAAATAAAAGTAAAGATGTTCATCTCTCCTTCTCCCCAACAGACTCTCCTTTGGCAGTATGACCTTCCCAATCCACAGCACTGCAAAGTCACTTCTAATCTTTAACAGCAAATTGAAATCCCATCTCTTACAGAAAGTCTTTAAATTGCTCCTCCACACTACATCCTCCACTGCATGCCTATTGCAGGCTTTAATTTACTTTCCTGACACTCCTCTAAAGGGGAAAGAAAAACAAATTCTGAGAATGTGAAAATACCACGTCTTGAAAGCAACCTTTCTATTTGTGATATAAAGTAAACACCCAATGGATTGATTCGCCCCTGGCCACAAGAACAATCACAGCATTCCATATTAAAAATGTATGCAGAGTCAAAACATTCAGAATATAAAAGAGTTGAATTGTATAAAGTTGTTTTTGCAACGATGAGGGGTTGAGATGTTTCTTTTCTGTCCTTTCCCTCAGGCTAATTCATCCGTTTGGACCCTGCTTTTTAAACACGACTGCTTTATTGTTGACTCAATCTGAAACATAGCGTCAAATGCTCTGCAAACGGGGAAAGAACTTTAACAAGTATCCTTCTTCTCTCCCCTGTCATTTTGGATGAAAATATTCTAATAAAAAAAAAGGTGCACAGCCACAATACAGAAAATGTTTTATCCCCCCCCTCCATGCAGTAAGCCTGTAGAGGGTCAAATGTGGTGGACAAAGACAGGACGGGGACTGACAGAGCAGCAGATGGAGGAAGCTTGATAGAGCTGATAGGGAAAAAGGCCGCCATGACAGATGAGAGTGCAGCCATCCCAGATGAAGGTCTGATAGCAGCGTTATCTCTGTGCCATTGCCACTCACCTCCTGATGAGTGTGTGCATGTGTGTGTGTGTGTGTGTGTGTGTGTGTGTGTGTGTGTGTGTGTGTGCTAGACAATACTTTTGTGTGTGTGTGTGTGTGTGTGTGTGTGTGTGTGTGTGCTAGACAATACTTTTGTGTGTGTGTGTGTCTGTGTGTGTGTGTGTGTGTGTCACATTTTCAGTGTGTGCATTAGATACTAGTATACCAGCAAGCAAGTGTGTGTGTGTGTGTGTGTGTGTGTGTGTGTGTGTGTGTGTGTGTGTGTGTGTGTGTGTGTGTGGATCCTGCCTGTCAGTCCTCTGTCCTCTTGAGTGAGCTCCCTTGGGGCTGGGTCCTTTCAGACAGGTCAGTCATATCAAGAAAGCCCACTGAGAATGAAATGTCATCGATCGGGCACTGGCCTGCTGCTGCCCGCCCTCAATAAGACCCAGGATGTTCTGTAGAGCTCGACATCCACAGCTCCATTTCCCAAACACGCTGACTTTTGTTTATGTTCCCGCGGAGTTATTCAAAAGTAACGACAGGAACATGCCTTTAGGGAAGGCATACTATTTAAGACCTTAAGATGTTCATATTCTCCCTGTCTGATGTTATGCTAAATATATTCTATTCTAAACACCCTGTACATTGCCTCTGTGTGCTGCCTGTCAGCACCTGTGTCTGCTCAGACTTAAAGCTGAAGTTTGTTGGCACTTACAGATGATGTTTCCTCCTCTCTAGATCCTTGCTGGTGTTACTCTCACATGTACATCACTTTGGACAAAACAGTCTGCTAAATGGAATTTTAAAATGATAACCCTGTTTAAAAAATTAGACGTCGTATAAAAAGGATTGCAATTTGTAAACGATTATAATAACAATAATAATAATAATAATGTGTTTTATTTATGGGCGCCTGTTAAGTCACTCAAGGTCAACTTACAGACACAGCAGTAAAACAGTACTGGTAAGTAAAAATAAGAACTACATGAACAAAATCAGCAATAGTAAGAAGGGCGTGGTCAGACAGAATAGACCAATCTAATAAAGTGTGTTTGGAGCTGTGATTTGAAGGTGGGGAGAGAGTTAATGTCTCAGATGGTTTGTGGGAGAGGGTTCCATTGACGGGGGGCTGCATGGCAAATGGCTCGAGATCCAATTGATGGGCAGGAGGTGTGGTGAGGGTTTAGTGAAGGTTTATAAAAGGATCAGTTTCCTTTTAGGTGTTTTTTATAATGTTCTTTGACCTGCCGTTTTCAAATGGTCTAAAACCCTTTTTACTCCTGATGTATTCTGTTCAATAACATAAAGCTCGACAATTATTCTTTTTTTAGTTTCATGACTAAGTTGAACTGTTATCCTAATTTAACTGACATTTTGGGCACATCCCTTTTCAAGAAACAGGACGCTGAGAGTGAAAATCCACTTAACTTGGAGTCTTGCCGATTAGAAAATGTTCTTTTTCCCTCTCACAAAGTAGGAACAGAAGAATGGACTCAGAGGGATGAAGGTGTGATAAGAAGTTTTTTAAAGTGATTAAGATCGGATTAAATGCATTATATCCTAATTAATCATTGATTTCAGGTGCTATTAAAAATGCATCGGTGCAGTAATGCAATCATTGATGTGTGAGTGACATTTACTCGCTTCACTTTCAGGTTCTGTTACTGTGCAGGCTGACTCACTGTCACACTGGCATGGTTAACTGGGACACTGTGAGAGAACGGAGGGATCACCTACTTTTACCTCTATAATAAGTCAGAATGTCGGCTGTATGAATGGACTATTGTCGCTGAAAGGTGAAGGTGACATTTTGTTTTTATTGTTCTGCTTCACTGCTTTGCTGTTGACAACAAAGCAACTTTCCCACATTGCTTTTTGGTATTTCTTTCCAAACAAAGACACTTGAATGCACCATTCCACATTCATGACTTGGGATGGCTTGAAGGGGGCAACGGTCAAAAGATGGTTTTCATGGAAGAGTGGTGATTTCTAACTGTGCTTTAAAGCTTGAAGACTGTCACCTTCCCTTTCAGCTTTTCATCTCCTCTGCATCACAAACAACAACTCCGTCTGCACTCAATCGGTTCCTCAACAAAGCCAGAGTTCAAGTATCATACACCTGCAGCTGTAGTTTGGAGCAGTAAATGGGATTGTAAATGGACTCTGCCATATCATCATCATAGATGTATACAGCTTGTATGTGAAAACATCATCCTATTGTTATAAGAGGAAATCCCAAAAAGGGGAAAAATGAACTTAGAATGATTTGAATAAACTCAATGTGTCAAAATGTGTCCAAATGTGTCATATATCCAGGACAAGTCTGCTAGTCCTCTTTTTCGAATGCTGAAACTGTTCTTTATGTGTTACATTAACGCCCACTGGACTTTAAATGTATTTTCTTTACATGCACTCTGTGAGTAGGTTACATACACTGTGTGATTTTTTCTCATAGTCCACTGCACAGCTCCTACATTGCACCTTTTGTACATT